GATCAATGGGCTTGACAGCATCAACCAAAGCTGAGCGTTTACGAGAATTTTTTCTTTGCATAACTGATGAAGATGTTGTGCAGTCTTTGCCATCATTTGCCCAAATGCTCTAAATGCATTGATGCCATCTTCAGCTGTGTACAGATTCGATTCATCACTTGGCAGCCAGGCTTCGCGTTCCAGCCGGAGATGAAGGAGTTCGCCTTCACATGACAATGAGTATATTTTCAGTCGAAGGCCTAAAGATTTTCACAAAAAATTTATGAGGTAAAGCAAAAACAATTGGTTTTTAATATACTCTTCCCACTCACCAGTAAGCTGCCATCCATAAACACGGAGTTTTGCTGTATTAACACCGTGAAGATGCTTCTTGATTCGTATTAGAATGTCGCGAAGTTCTAATGAAAGATTAATTTTATCCTCCCAATATTTGGCGCGATTGCATTGTGGCAACCTGCCAGACACTTCTCCAACACCAATTTCAGGAGTCCATGACGCCGATTTGCAAGTAACAAGAAAATCGCATTTATGACCCGGGAGGGCAGCCAACTGCGGGTCTCTTCTTTCGTTTCTTCTACTTGCGCAAGCGACAATCGACTTTTCCCCCCTATGTGGAAAGATAGACAATAGCACAGCAAACGGGTCAAATTGGACCAATGTCATTTCTTAATATCATGACATTCAGACTATTAGTTTAGACATGTTCTAAGATACCAATATTGATCTTCTTGGAAAATAAACAAAAACGGTAGAGATTTTTTTTTTAAAAAAACAAGCAAAAGAAACGTAAGCATACAATTGACGGAGGAGATCTTTGATGCGACGCAGCTCAAGCGTGCCAGCGGGTAATAAATCAAGATCATCCATCTGAAGCCGCTAGTTTTCCTAAAGTATTAATAATAGTATTATTGGTATCATCAATTAATCATACGTTACCTTGATCACGGCATCAAAGAAATTACCCTCATCCACGCAACTCAAAGGTATCCAAATGTTTTTGATATTAGTAATTGTTGAACGCAGTAGCTTCATCGTCGGAATGTGCTGGCCCGTGTGATCTATTATAAAATAATATAAGGGACTACAGAGGAGTGAACCATTTAAAGTTGTATTCTCAATTTTATTCTTCCGATCCCAACTCACTTGTACATTCTTTTTTTCTCTGGGATCTTCAACCGGTATTTTGAAATTTGATTGTTGACGCTGACCCAATTAACGGGTAATATTGTCTTTTTGTTCTGAGCATCACATTCAACCATCTCCTCGATACCATTCAAATCTTCATGTGCAATTTCGCTGTCCATTGAAAAAATCTCACTAAAGTCATAATTCATTTCATCCTCAAGTCTCTCACAATTTCATCACTTGCCATCAGGCTCTCATAAACCTTCTCGCCCTCAATTTCCTCATTCTGTTACTGTTCTCGCAATCTTCGCCGCTGCTGATATCATTATCAATACTCCTGTCCTAAAACAAATAGCAAAAATTGTACATCCTGATTTCTAGCAATTCGCGAGATTCTTCAGCTAATATATAGATATGCTAACCTTTGATAAGCCCTCTGGAAGCAATGGCCATATGCCAGTAGGTATACAAACACAGCGCTGGACGCGGCGTCTAGGATATTACAAGCCATGAGCACAAATGCCCAAGGATGTTCCTAGAGACCAGACCCAAACATCTGACGCAAGAAACAATGGCTATACGACAGTAGGGTTGTGCGCAACTGACAGCACGGATAAGGAAATTATACTAGCCCTTAAGAATGAAACGAGACAGGCCGACAACAAGTAATAAGGCCACTGGGCCAGTCAGGCAACGTCCCGCGGTAAGGAAATTTCGATGACCGCGTGTTAATTAAAGACCTAGGACAGTAAGAAAGGATGGGTGGGAAGAGAGCGTCAGACAAGGCTGGGAGAAGGGAACGGATCAAATGGTATGGAATTGGTCAAGACGTACGAGTTGTAGTATACGAGTTGCGCGTACGCGTGAAAAGAATTTTTCAGGTTGTGCTACGTCACTAGGGCTAAGTCAAGCCATCATGTGCTCACTTCGTCTAGTTTTGTTGCAGCTGCAACTCTGCATTTGCCACAAAGCCTCATCACCGCCCAGATCTCAATTTTCGTATTTTATCTAATTCTTGCGCTTTGGCTTCATACTAAAGTGTTATGACTAATAAAACAAAAGAACATTTCATGTTTACTTTCTAATTGTTTGTATAGCAATATATACACAGAAAGAAAAGTGACAAGGAAAGAGAGAGACCAAGAAAGAGAAAAGAGAGAGAGTAAGAGAGAAAAGAAGGACAGAGTGAAAGAGATAGAGAGAGAAAGAGAGAGAAAGCGGGGTTTTACAGAACAGAGAGAAATAAAATACTCTACAAAAGTAAACTATACCACGCAATCGACAAGTACAACTCTTTCATAGTTACTTATTCACTACTTTCCAACTTGCATATGTCACCAGACCTTTCCATTGACTTTGCGCTAACAGACGACGACGAATTTATCCAGATTCTATCAGAAACTTGTTTCCTTCCTAAAGTGAACCCCCCCACTTCTCGCAATTGTTACACGATGTCCCCCCCTTCAACTCTAACTCAGAAAGAGAGCGTAAATACCAGAGACTACGTAAACGAAATAGCATCTTCATCTGTATATCCCCCCCCCAACACATGACCCACAGAGAATATTACGGCAAATGATGGGTTTATGCAAGCATATTTATTCAAGAGGACTAATTGAAGGCAGCGGAAGCGACGTCACAATTAGGGTATTTGACAAAGATTATCATTTGCACAGGATTATTCTATATCAAAATTCATATTTCTCGAGTCTATTGGAAGGACCGTGGAAGGAGAGCGGGGCCAAAATCATCGAATTGAAGTTTGACGACGAGAATATCACTCCAGAAGCGTTCAAAATCGCCCTCTCCCGTCTCTACGGTCGTCTAGACGAAACTATTTCCCCTAGCCAAGTTCTCTCTCTTCTCGCAACGGCTTCCTTCCTTGACCTTCAAGACTTGTGTGAGATGTGCGTAGAAGTCATCCTCCGTGACATAAAAGATAATACAGTTGTCCACTATCTGATCTTTGCGACATCTCATTTTTACGGAACACATTCAGAAAAAATTACCGAAGCATGCTTTACTTTCCTGTGCAGAGAAGGTTACGACAACCCAAAATTGGAGCAAGCTTTCTTGGATCTACCTGCCGAATGGATGAAGAGGGTGATTGAAAGTGACGCATTTTGGGTTCCGACGGAATATGATAGATATATTTTTGCCAGGAATATCGTACAGAAACGGAGGGCACGCGCATACCGCAGACAGCAAAAATCTGATTATACTTATGCCGAAGAATCAAACGCGACACCGGACACTCGAACAACCGAAATCAACGCTCCGTCTTCCCCAACAACAAAACGCCGCCCCCCATCACCCTTCACATATCATACTCGTTGCTCGTCTTCATCTTCCCCTTCGCCCTTATATCAATCTCCACCTCAAATGACAGACCCTGACGAAACAATATATACCGCTATATTCACGTATGGAATATATTATGCTCACATGACGTTCGAAGAGCTAAAATTCATTCTCCGTGACCGAGATGAAATAACGCAGCTTCCATTTGCGCCCGAACACGTTCCCAAGGAAGCTCTTTGGCAGCAAATCGATCTTCGCAACAAGATCGAAAACGCATCCGAAAGCGAAATTACTCTCTCTATTTCATCCATGGAAATTCCGCCAAATTCTTCCGGCATGCATTTTGAGATTCCGAGCGATGATACTACGCATATCGGAGAGGCTTTGACCGGGTTGGATGATATGATTGGAGGCGGAACAAAGTCTATGAAAGACGGTGCCGGAAGGGGTACCGTAGAGTATTCGCTTTTCGCGCCGTTTAGGTTTTCGGTTGAATTTGCTGACGTTGCAAAGTTGAAGGAGAAGCAGAGGGTCTATTCAAAAACTAAGTTTTACGCTGGGTGAGTAGTAAAGTTATAGTTGAGAATATCTTTGGACCTACGCAAAGTTTTATGTTCAAGATTAAGAATGGACGACAATGATAAAATTGGGAGCCCAAGCGTGGAGAAACGTGTCGCTTAAATGTGATTAATTCTACGCTAAAGTTTAGCATTCAAACGTTCAGCACATTTCAGCCTTTTATTTAATTTCATTTTTGTCTTACCGTCCAACACTAACAGTACCACTTTTAAACACTGTTCTACCTTTACTCATCACTTTCTATAATTCCTCTGTCCCGTAGTTCAAACTGGAACATGTACATTCAGAAGATAAAAACACCTCGTAAGGGGATTCAACTTGGTGTTTACTTACACCGTCATTCCATGCCAGACCTCTCCGCATCTTCATCTTCTCACCCCTCATCCACTCCAACGAAAACCTCTCCCGACGATACATGTACGCAACAACTGTCAACAAAAATAAATCAAGAAAAGAGCTTTTCAAGATATGCGGATAAGAGGAAGACAGTTAGGACTTGGTTTAAGATTTTTTGCCCGGCGAGAGGGCCAAGCCATGGTTTGACACAGTTCCAAAGCAGTCCGGACAACTTTGCTTTGATGCAGAGCTGGGTATGTAGTGGGAAATAAAGGTTGCAGGGAGGGAGGGGAGTCCGACTACATTCAAAAACTGCTTATGAATTGACTGGGAACATGGGGTTATGATAAAACGATATGATAAACGATTATCTTCCAAATAGTTAGTAAGATAATGATCAAAAAGGCGTTTCAAGACGTTGTTCAGAATTCAATGTTTACTAACTGCTTCAACACTTATGAATTCTATTTGCATTTATAGGGCTGGAAAAGCTCGAGTCTATGTCAAGACGACTACCTTCTTGATGTACGTGATTATGATGGATCTTCGGGTAACTCATGTCAAAGCGGATCTTCATCTACTTTGAAATTCTCCGTTGTTATGGGACATGTATGAAGGAACAAGAAGAAAATGAATGAAAGAAAAGTGGCAAAGAGACAAGGCTGCAAAAGATGAATGTGAAGCTAGTCGACAACGGAGCGATGATTTAATTACTGTTACCAATTTTTATCAAAAAAAAAAAAGAAGCCATGCAACTGCTTTAGACGATAGAAGTTCACTGGCAGTGCGGGAGTATTACAGTTACTTGACTTTAGCAGGCAAATTAGATTAGACGTGATCATTGATTATTATATTGGCAATGAATGGTATTGGGTTTTGTAGATAAAGTAGGAATTTTTTAGATTACACAACTTTCACGATATAAACTTCCATTAAGGACTCTACGATATCGATTTTTTTTTATTTCTCATTTCCTATTTCTGATTCTGATTTCGGTTGGTTTGTTTTTTTTCAGCTTTGTCATATTGTTCTTTGTATCTCTTTATTGCCTGATCCTTTTTACCACCAAGTTATCTTGTTAAAAATTTTTTCATTTTACTTTGTATTATAATATTTTTTTTAATCCCTATTCCTCAATTTTGACCTGATGCAAGATATAATAGATCAGGAGCTGTATGTGAACAAACTTATAAATAAAATGTAAATGTGCTGTAGAAATTGGTTCGAATGTCAATATTAAAGTCAACGGGCAACATATTGCACAAATTCCTCTTGAAATTCTCACAACAGTTAATTACCGTATACGGTATATTCGACACAGTCTCTACCTTTGCAACTGGGAATGAAGTTCTGGTCATTCTACCCAGTAAAGGTTATATTGTCATGACTGCAATTCAGTCAGCGACAACACTTCAATTCCTTTGCTCACGAAGTTGGAGTCTTGACGACTTTACAAGAATTTATTTGTATTTCTGCATTCACCCAAGATTATTTTTTAAAGACAAAACCCCCGTCAACTTGGGTGAGTGGAGTCTCAGGTAACGGGAGGGGTTTATGTTGATTAAATAAAAGGTCACATGAGCTGGCGGTGAAATCCTACCCATCATTATAAATTCCATCTATTGCTCGCTCTTCAATGTCTTTCTTAATCCTGCACTAGCCAAATAAGAAACAACTGTCCAATCTACTTAATATCATTTTTTCTGCTTTTTTCTTGGCAACCCCTCATCCATGCCTTCGCCATATTTTTCCTCCATGATCCGGTTTATCTTTTGAAAATCTCTGTCTAGTTTTTGTTTATCTGTTAGTTCCCTACGACTTCTTCGTGTCTGACGACCATCACTGGTTTTGACGCCAAATTGAAAAGCTGACTTTGGCATTGCTGTCACTTTGTCCTGTAAATATTATGGATGCAAACATGCAATCTTGAGTATGTGACAAGACACAGAGATATGACTTTGCAATCTTTCTCTTCCATACCTTATACTCCTGCCACTCCTCTTCAGTCTCAAAGTCCCACCTGACTAGCTGTGCTTTTTTATTTTTCGTTACGCCTTGATCACGAATAGTGTGTGCCTCATCAGAATCCGAATCAGACTGCCCGGAATCATAAGCGTTCTCACGCGCAATTCCGTCCATACCAAAACCGAAAATAGAATAATCCACATCGTAGCTGTCTTGGGAAATTAAACGCTTACGAATAGATTGCGACTGGGAAGATGATGAAGTTTTTGAGGCTTGTGAATCATTTAGAGCAGAAGCAGAAAGAGATGAAAAATAAGTGGATCCATCGTGAGCATCAGAAGCAGTGGCGGATTGGATAAGAGTATGTAATGATGTAGAATTTGCATCGCTGTTATTTTCTGTGTCCATTGAAGAATCAGTCTGGTGAGAGAAATATTTCTTCGTAGTATCCGTTTCCCTCATCGAGTCGTTACTCTGATCATTAATATCATCCGCTTCCACATTGGCAGCGCCGGCAGCAGCGGGGAACAAGAACCAACCAGTCTCTCCCGCAGTTTCCTCTTTCTTCTCTTGCGTTTCTTTATCTTTCTCCTCGATAGTAACACTATAATCCCTCCCAGCTTCAGCAAAAATATCCTCATCATCATCAATAGCCGCCACTTTAACCATCCTAACTTCTGCTGGTTGTACTTGTTTCTCCTTCATTTTCTTTTTCTTTTTCTCCTTTGCATCGTCCTCCATACGATCTCCAGAACGAGCATAAGCCATAACCTGAGAGATTTTCTCAATGACAATGTCATTTGTAGACTTATCGACTTCGGCCGAGTCGGCAATGTCAGCTTTGGAACGGATAATTGTTGTTGGAATAGCAAATGGATCGTTATAATTTCCATTATTATCAGCAAGTTCGAAAACGTACGCCATTCGTCCAGCAACGAATAGTTCATTAACTTTTGGAGGGAGCTTTCTCGTTTCCATAACGTGTTGATAGAGATTGATTGCAAGCTTGCTCGTAATCCTAGGTACTTCCTGCGTTTCCTCTTCCAACTTCTCCAATTCTCTTTTCGTGTCTTCATCTTCACTCCCCCGGCCCTCTTTACTCAGCTCGTTTCGTACTTTTGTTAACAGAGCAAAATCGAGACCTTTTACAAGATGCGTATGTTCGGTATCACCTCCAAGATACTTTGATTGTTCATATACGGTTTTTGATGCAAGAGTTTCCGTCTGATTGAGGGCTTTGAGAATTTGTTCCGTGTCTTGATAGTCAGGATTGGCATTTTCACGGCGTTCGGCAGCACGATCTCTGTACTGATTTTGAGGTGGCGAAGTAGGAACAGGCTTTATAAAGCGACTGCATTGAGGAATAGCAAGCCGATCAAGTGTGTTTGTTTATTTGTTAGTACAAGTCCTCTGAGAACAGACGAGGATACACTGATGCGTTGTACAATACCTTTTCCTGGGCTTGGAAATTAATGTCTCTGCTTTCGTTACCGTTGAGCTTGTATTTCCACCAACTCTCCTAAAAAATCCAATCCATTCTCAAAATTAACCCTCATTCTTTTTCTTTCCCTTTTTTCCTTTTCCAAAATCAGATCTCGGACCTCAACTCACGGTGTCTGTGGCGGAATTAATCGCTGTCTATTGGAAGCGGTACCCAATAACCCAACTTTCGACGTTGCGTCCCCTGGACGTGGTGTTTGTAGTAGTTTACGGAAATCATCTTGATTTAGGCTGGGAAAAGAAATATCTACGTGTCAACTTTAAACTTGGGCGAAATAATAAGCAAGAAAGAGATAGAAAAGCGAATACCGCTTCTGTTTAGCTTGGGTCTCCGTGGTGTCCGTCATAATCGCACATTTGTGTGTTGGGGTGTTTATGAAACCAGTCGCCAGGAAATGCTGCGGCAGAAAAATATAAATTCTCGAGTTGACTGAACATGTGATTAATATTAACGTTAGGTATTACCATTTGGCGCAGCCGTTACTATAAGTAGTTCCCAGACGGCCGACATCAAAGTCAGAAACAACTCTACTGCTTTCAATGCGTCCATTTGCCATTTTTGCCTTCTCGTCCATTCTATGCATCACGCTCATAGCCCTCCCGATAAATGCCGAACTTGTTTGCCCCATAGATATCCCCTTAAGTACTTGCGCCGCATGTCAAGCTGCCATTGACTCGATTTTTTCTCCAAACTACTTTAATGGTAATATCCCTCCTCCTGATAAGTTTCACCCATGTGACTTTTATAGTCGAACGGAATGGGAAGTCATCCGTCGTTGGAGACCCGGAACTAGCCCTTTTGATGCAACTGTCCCCCAATTACTCAAAGATGCGTTCGACGCTGCATGCTCAAACTCAAGTACGTGCACCGAGCAAGAGGCTATCGATGGATCCAAGATTATCGAAACCGGATGCGGAGAACTAGTTGAAGCCAGCAACGATGCTGGAATTGTAAATGCTACAACGGCCTATATAATACTTCGAAACATTTTTCCAGAGAAAAATGTCTATTGCAACAAAGACGCGAATGGAGGTAAGAATTGTCTCGCAAACTTGTCGTATCAATGTGAGGCCAAACTACTAATCCATATAACGAAAAAAATCTCGTTCAACACAGACAATTATGGCTGGCAAATTCTACGTGACGTTATAAATTATGCAGCAACAATAGTTCCACGGGGCATAGCTGGTTTAATAGTTCCTCCTAACCCGGCTCTCGTCTTTGTCACATTCGACAACACGACTGGAAGCCCCTCCGTCTATGGTATTCCTGATTCAGTTATCTGTAGCAATGCCTACAAATACATGGTTTCCACATTCTCCAGTTTTGTTGATACATATCCACTCGACCCGCGGTTTTCTTATCTAACCGAAAATCTGAAACTAGCCAAATTACTCGTTCAAGACAATTGTAACGTTTTACCGCAAAATGTAAAAGAGTTTTATTATGAGTCACTGTCTCGACAATACAGTCAACTGCCTTTAGTTCGACGGCCTGCGTTCCGGAGTCATCGGTCGAATTAACATGCGGTCGATTATTAATCAGAAGCGTTTAATGCAATACAGAACATTATTATTATTATAACTGGTGGACAATACAATAAATCTACTTCTCAATTTCACATTAATAAGTTTGTCTAAACAAAAATATACGGTGGCTTTCTCGATCGCAGCGATCGAATTTTTATTTAGTATTAGGTCGATGGGTAGAAAGTTAATCAACTGGCCTAAATAGAAATGGAAATGATTTTCCAAAGATCGACCGTGCTTATACACGCATTTTTAATTAGTTAATTAAATTGACATTACTATTATCTGTTATAAATTAACACCAATGTATAAATGACCGAAAGAACGAGGTGGGTAATAATGTAGCTAGAGCAATTGGCAATTTATAAAGAGATATTCTTCAATTTTACTAAGGAAATAGCGAACAAATAGCGGTTGTATATCAATTTTTAGAACTCAAGCGGATATCAAAAAGCAGGTTTATTAAAACGCCAACGTTTATTGAGAGCGCAAAACATCTCAATAATAATTGTATTCACTGACGAGACAGTGTTCTAATATCTAATAAACAGAAAGTGAAATTAATTTAATTAAAACTGTTGTAAACGATTCCGAACCACAAAAAAATAAGCATTACAGAGTACCAGCCAAAAAGAAATTTACCAACTTTTTTAAAAAACTATTTGCTCGCTTTTTCCGGAGTGAAACCCCCCGCGGAAAAAAAAGCCCGGCGAAAAAAAAGAAGAAGTAAATCAAAAAATTGGTAGTATGCTGCCAGCTAACGGATTGTGCATTAGTCGCTACTAAAGTATATTGAAATATCCTCTCTTATTCCTTCCAAATAAATACAAGCAAAGAGTTATTACTTTATCAATGGCTTTTGAGCAGCTTTGGTATGTTGTTTGCAACGTTAACTAACAAAAGCTTCCTTTGTTATGTTGACTTTATGCATAGAAGTGGAAAACGACCTCGCTGATTTCAAATAACAACAACGCATTAATGAGCTGTGGTTGAGGACATTATGTCATGTGATAATGGTATTTTTTTGAATGGCTGTGCCTCCGCAGGCAAATCTCTTTACTACGTGATTTGATAAATATCCGAGTTTAATTTCCTCACTTCACAGCTCGTTTATTTTTCTAAGTAAATAATATTCAAATAAAAATCTATAATTATTTAAAAACAACTCATGCAGGCTCCACTAACATATTCCCATAAAGACTCTCGCGCTTAAATATTAAGATCTCGTAACCATCAATTCACATCAAAATCTCGTTATGACAACTGCTCTTCAATTCCTTGTGAGGCAATACGGTACAATTTCTGATTACGACTTCGTCTTTCACGGTAACATCCTTGGCTAAAAAACACAGAATATGCGAGTTAAAAGGATAGAATATTTAAAAATGTCACTCAATTCGTCACATACACGCCGAATATACACTTACAAAGAATAGCAATACTTTGGACTTTAACACCGTTATGCGTAATGATGGTTTGATGATTTATCACGGGCGTTCCTTCGATTCTCGTCCAAGTACCAATTTTAGAGTCCCACCCAATGATAGAATGAAGAACGCATGCAAAATTCTTGATTTCAACATTGTCCAGAATAATAGAATCTTTGATTCGAACGCCTTTGCCGATGACTACTCGAGGGCCAATTGTTACATTTGGGCCAATCTACTTGAACAGAGAAGCGTTATTAACATAACACCGAGATCAAGAAGCGAACGTGTAGTGAAATAATTTACACTTGACTGACTGAGAGAATAATAAATTGACAATCACAAGTATGCACACTACATACCTTAGCGCGAGGATCAACGACTGCTGTAGGATGAATGTAGACAGCACCAACTATTTGTGGACCACCAGATTCACTTTTAGCCAACCGTTCGGGGAATGTCTTGGCATATTGTTCAAGATAAAGAGCATTTGCAGGGACAGCTGAACTGTTAAGGATGGGATGGCCGTCATGATACGAAATATTGGTTAACTTATTTCAACGATGATGGCAAGTACACGTTACCACACATACCTTGGAGTCTTTATCTGTCGCCAAAAGTCTTTAGTCTCAAAGACATACAATTTGCGCAACTCTGCAAGCGATCGTAATAGATCTTGCTCCAATTGTAGTTTATCGTCGTTGTCCGTATATGGGTCCAAACTGTCAAATTGACACTAGTTAAGGAATGTGGTTATGATATACCGTAGTAAATTGATTCATCAATAATACCAAGACTGAGTATACAAAATAACCAAGGATACGCAATCTGTGAAGCTTTGTTTTGCGTTGCCTCCTTCATCGTATTAAATATGGCGACATCAAAAAGATAAATTCCACAACTGATCAAATCAGAAATGAAGCTTTCGGGCTTTTCTACGTAATGTAATACTTCGTTACTACCTGGTTTAGCAACTAGGCATCCGAATCTATGCGCATCCTCTGGGGGAACCTATAATAAATGGAAAAAGTGACGCATAAGTGTTAATCGGTGCAATAGACAGACCGCAGACTTTTTTAGTTTACGCATCGAGTATAGTAGAATTAAAGCAGACAATGACAATCCAAAGATAATATTCTCTAATACACCTCTACCTACCTTGGTCCCAAGTATTGTACACAGGCCTCGATGGGTAGTGTGAAAATTCATCATCTCATTCAACGGGAAACTGCACGCAACATCCGCATTGAGAACAAACAAATGCTGTGGGTCTCCTCTTTGAATCTCATCTCGGAAATGATAAATTCCTCCAGCAGTGCCCAAAGCCCGATACTCTCGAAGGTATCTGCAAACAACAACACATTCCCACTTCTAAGCTTGATTGCGTTAATACGTCTATGTAAACATTCATTTCCATTTTTGGCCTCCATACCGAATATGAAACTTGTCACCGAATTTTCTAGTAGCATCAAATAAGAAATTTTCAAAGACTGAAGCCTCAAAAAAGCCAATCAACAGTACTTCTCGCAAGCCATCGACTCTGGACAAGGCTTCTAAATGGTGCCAGATGACAGGGTGGCCCGCAACAGGGAAGAGCGTTTTAGGACAATCGAGTGACAACGGGCGAAAACGTGTGCCGCGCGAAGGTCCACCGACGAGAATTATGGCTTTGAAAGTCATGTGTGATGCGAAAGAGCTTTAGCTGAGGAAAAAGAGCGAAGTGGAATACTGAAATGATTGGCAGAAAAAGCTGTGTAAAGTGTGGGAAATTTTACCGCATTTGGACAAAGTTGTCTAATATCGATATTAACATACCAAATATGGGAGTTATGCGCATCACAAGATACGTAAAGAGTAGATTTGTTTTTCATACGCTACAACGTGCTTGATATATTTGGTGTTAAGTAAACGCGTACAGTCAGCTTTACATTTTTTCCAGTCCTGCAACTTTTTAATTCTTCCGCATTAATAACCCTGCGTAGCATCAAACATATGGTTCTATAAATTACAGTTATACGCTGGCGTCTTGTACACACCATTACTCGATATTACAGCTAAATTTTAGTGGCATTAGTCATTAAAGGCCGAGTCGACGAGAAAACTCAATAATATTAGCATTTACGCAAAATAGAAAAAACTGTGTTGATAATTTACGTTTGAGGGGAATCCGCGTCAAATTCAATAATAGAACAATACATCCATATTCATTTGATCTTTCGCGTTCGAATTAGACAAATTTACATCAAACTTAAGTTGGGCAGCTAAGCCTTTGTCTATAATATTTAAGACAATTTGTAACAGAAACGCCGTTTACACGTCATCTGACAAATTACATTAGTTCCCATCATATTCAACGAAAATCCTTGAGATCCCCTTTTGCTTCCTTGCTTTTTCAAAGCCTTCCTCTACAACAATTAATTTATAAACATATTCATTATTAAAGACGAGTTGATACTTGCAGCGCATGTTTAGTTTCTCCTTTTATTCATTTGAGAATTTTTTAATGGAAAGTAATCGCTTTCGTAATACATTCATAGAAAATCACCAAGTCCTAGACTCACTTTATTGAGGCAAAATTTTTTGAACTGCTGAAATTTTGGGCAGTTGCCCGCGTTGTCTTTGACAATATTCAAAAATAAATTTCTGGACTCTTTGTGACAGCCGTAGCCTCTTTTTCATCCCTGGCTGCTGTCCAGGCACCCTTCCATCTATACTAACTGGAATTTGTCAGTCCCTCGGATCTTTTATTTTTGCTGCATTAAGATTTGGGTAATGGGAGAAAGAATCACTCAAAGGTCTATTCCACCACTTATAAAAAGAGTCACGTGAACGGGGAGATAATCCTGTGTCGTTAACAAACCGCAATAGAATGTGATATTTATTTTTAACCAAATTCTTTCTTAAATTTTTATCACGAAACGCTGATTCGTTACATCGCTTCACCGCGCGCTGACGTTATATAATGTTGTCGCATGTGAATAATTATTACCGGAACCTTTCTACTAAAACGAAAGGTTTTCCTGCTTTTGCGGCACATTTCGAGTGCCGATAATTAAATTAACTATATATATTGCTTATTGATTATTATTATTTCGTCTTTCTCATATCGTCATTTTACACCCATTTAACCCTGTCTAGAAATCCACAAACGTTTGATTCATTCAAAGCATGACACTTTTTACAAAAGTTCTTGTGTGTTCTATCCGTTTTCCATGAAAAATAACTTTCATATAGCGTTTTGTTCTCTGCTATCGTTTAGTGTGTTCTACTAATGCATTCATTCTCATAATCAGTCAATTTAATCACAATGCCAGAAGGAGATATCCGCCGCTCCCATGTACTTTATAGGAATAGCGTCAACCAACAATGCATCGTATACTTTCTCGGTCACGTATCCAGCACAATTGGAATTTTCAAAAGCAAGGACAAACTTGTATGGTGCTAGAACCTCTCTCTTGATATCATACATGTTTTTGTATCCATATCCGTCATCCGCTCCATATTTATCCAGTATTTCCTTTGGATATGCCATAAAAATCTACTTCCGTATGCTTCACTAACTCGCGAACATAATCATCGCGGTTATTGATTGCATTACAATGGCCAGACATTCACGGTCATTACGTTTATTCTCGTAGTTCATATGTGTGTCATAAGCGCAGCAATATTGTCTTGTTTAATAGGGTACGTGGGCACGGCCGAGCCGAATATAGTATTAGTCGCGTCCATGGTAACATCAAACATTCCGATGCCTAGGTGGCAACTGATTCATATCGAAAAACGGCATCTCGTCTTCGTATAGAACGTACGGGTAATTATGTCCGCTTTACGCCAGAGGGTATAAGTGGTATGAATGTGATAACGTTGTCCATCCCTGCAATTACTCCGATAGTGTGACTTGGAGCCACTCCAAAATTTACACGGAGCATAGCCAATGGCCATTCACTTATTCCAGGATAAATAGTAGCTGCAAATTTCGTATATATGTTTAACTCTGACAGATACGGACATAACTCTGTCGATATATTATACCACCAGTTCTTGTCAACTCGAGTCGAATAGGTCACGTATCGCCAATGAAATATATTGAGTTCTCTTTTGGGTGGACCACGCGCTTCAAACGTGGCAAACCTGCTTGTTGGCGGAAGACTCGCACAGGTTGACGGAGAGTATTCTGAGGCAAAGGGGTTAAAATGTTTAAAGGACTCAGTGGTGTCATTATCGCTGCCATCATAGGAAATGGGTTTAATATGCCAGTAAACCGTTTGTGAGCCATGTTCACCACAACAATGTACCAACTTTATTCCTCTGATATTGAATCTGTTACACATGACTTTACCATTTTAAGCAAAAGGGATAAACTACTCACATGCTACACGTGCATACCTAACCGATATTTTACTAATGGATAAATAATGACAGAGTTGATCATTAAAACTTCGGGAATCTACACTTTATCGTATCCAAAATTTCCCCTTGAAATAAAACTGAATCTTGTGCAACAGTTTCATTATTGTAGTATCTTGCGCTACATTAAATGTTTTCATTTCCAGAATACCATTAACCAGAGCGCAAAAAAGAATGACATAATTCATGAAATTCTTGTTAGGAAATAGAGAACAATTTCGACGGCAGAGAAAGTTGAATGTTGACTCAAATATTCGAGATGCTACATAGAATGTCACACGCACTAGCCTTTTTCGAAGAGAGTCAACAGTAAATGAAATATCTACTGATCATATTTGTAGCAAACGTGTGTCAACATAATTAAATAGATTTAATTAATATATATAGGATATAGTGTCTCGTTTATTAGTAATGTAGGCATGACCATCGAAACAAGTTTCTGAATATGCCACGAAAACTTAGAATTATCGGACCGAGTGAGGAATGATTAAAAGTTTGCACTTTGGGAAGAGGCTATTGTCGGTGTTCAAAGCTATATATATGCTACAGTGTTGGAAGGTTGGTAGATCATCCGAACTATATGATAAGAGACGAGCGGCAATTGAGATAAGAGAACTAAGGATAGAAGCAGTAAAAGGACAAATACGACGTACTCTACACCATTATGGCTCTACAGAAAAAATAAAAACCGTTAGTGGTCGATACGAGTAAAAGAAAATGGCAAAATTTGGAAGGAGAATGGAAAGGGTAAATTTATAAGCAAACTACTTAGCAACAACCGTGAAACACGCTAAAGGGGTAATTGTGTTTCTGTAAGGGTCGCTGGTTTTGGTTGATGGAAATAGCAATGCCAAGTATAGACAAAATGTTGGAAGAATACCTGTTACCTTATCTACAATGCTCCGTCACAGGTTTACCGCTGGAGAGCTTGATGGTATTTCTCTATGATTTGTTACAGACTCTTTACTCTGACAGTTAATGTCGATCGACCTTAAAAGTCGTTTCATTATTTATGTAATAAGATCACTTTTTTTTTGCTACTCTGTCTGCAGTAAATATATATATTTTAGTATGTATTAATAGTCTCCGTACAAATTCGAGCTCCATTTACAAGGAAAGAGAGATAATACAATCACGCATTCATGAGTTAAAAAACAATAAAAAATCCGATAAAAACTAGTGTGTTGGTTGTAAATTGATGATAGAATAAACGATAGTTCGCATTCATAATTAAAGTCGTAGTACAGATCCGCGACCCCAACACTCCAATAAAGTAATATCTAAAAAAGTAAATATCCCTAATCTTACAAATTACATTGGACTGAGAGTCCCAGATGTGTTGGCATCATCGTCATCGTCATAATTGTAAGTTCCTTTTTCTTTTTTCTTCCCACTCTTTGTGCTTGATTCTGCTTCAACGTCCCTTCTCATTAACTCTTCCGCGTCTTCATCGTCTTTATCCATTCCAAATTTAAACCTGTCCAATACAGAGAGCTTATTTTGTGACCTACGCGAAGAAGTACTTCCATGCTTATCGAGATCTCTCCTCTTGGCGCTTTCATCCAGTATTTCGGTAAATGTGGCAGCCCCAGCAGAAACCTGAGTCTTAAGGTAATCAATTGGATGTTGAAGAGGTGATAATGGAGGAGGCAATCTAGGAAGTTCCATTTTCGATGAAGATGTTGGCGATTCAAGAGAGATTTCCGTGTCAATACTAGGTGTAGATGTGTGAATGATAGGTGTCACGTTGAACCGCACTGTAGAGCTCTTGTTGGCTTCTCCCAACTCCATATCTTGGCCGAATATATTTTCTCCCTGTGTGACGGCTGCCTTACTCCCTGCTTCGCGGTTAGGCACTGCTATGGTCGCAGGATGTTCGGAAATGACGGGAAGCACAGAAGATCCATTTGATCCTCGCCGAGAATTGAGATTGAGGCTCACACTTCGACGATGATTGCCGTTTTGAGGATGACCATTGCCATTAAGAGGCCGATTGAATGTCATGGAGTATCGACGAAGACTGCCAAAACTAGCACGTATTTCAGATGCGCCTGGCTCATAGGTTCCATCACTTATGAGAGACAGACGTTTGTCATCGGGTGAGAATACACTTTCAACGTCCTCAATTGGTGCTCTGGATGTTTGAAGACACAATATTCCTGCGCATATCACAAAAAAACCGAGTATAACGGAAATTATGCTTACTATCGGTGCGGTGAAACCTTGGAATAAAATCGCCGAACTGATAATTGTTAGACTGGTAAAGGTAACGTAGTAGACTGGCGTTACCATAGCAGTGTTGAATAAATTAAGGGCTTTGTTGAGATAATTGATTTCGGTTAAAAGCGTTCCCACGACAAAAACAAGGAGGACATAGAAAAACCAATGAGTGAGCTGGTTGTTGCCCATGATTGAGGTGACTATCGCAGTGCCAAGTCCTTGAGTCGTAACTACTGATAAAGAACCGATCAGAGAACAAATGCCGATATATACAAGCATATTCTTGGATCCGTATTTTGGGGCGACTTTCCAGATGATTATTATTGATATTATAATCGCAAGACTGGTATATACAATAAAGACTAAAAGTGCAAAAGGATGTAAATTTAGTAAAAATAAATTTGTCAGTTATTACACGTTCAGCATATCACGTACCTGGTGCAAAGAAGAGTTTAGAGAACTCATCAATGGTATTCGCGGACTGCTGATCAGGCGAGTGTATGACAATCATTACCGCACCCAAGATACATAAAGCACAGCCAATTTTCCCTTGTAAGTTTAATCGTTCTTTCAAAAAGATTGATGATAACACGGCACTAGCGTTATATGATAGTGTTCAATCAGTTATTTGTGTAAGGCATTTCCCCCTTTGGGATTTTTTTAAAAATCGCCTTTTGCCAAATCGTAAAATTCAAGAAAAATACCTGATAACAACACTAAGAGCTCCAAGGGGTGTAACTATAATAGCTTGTGCAAAAGCATATGCAACGAAATTGCACAATTCACCAATAATCACTGAACATTCGTAATAAGATAAAGGTCAATACAGGCTTACAAATTAAAAATTTTTTTCTTGCCAACTATTTGATTCAAATCACTCACTTAAAATCATTCCGAGCCACCATAATTTATTTGACAAGTAACTATGTCCTTGGCCAGCAATGGCACCTTTATTGGGAATAAAAGAGGTAAGATATCAGACAACTCATCGGAATTAAAACTCGAAATCCATGTAATTACCGGAATTCGTTTCTTGCAAAAGGCCCTTCTTCTTGAATATGAACGATGAACCGATAAAAACACCTATAGACAAGGTACAGTTCAGTATAATCTTACGCTAATTGGTACGTCACGAATTTTCTTCCAACTATCGATGGCTATTCATATTTCTCCTCTGATAACCTGAAACCACGCATTCTACGTGATTAAACTTTCTGGTTCATAGATAAGGCAGGTAGGTTGTGTCGAACGTTTTTTTTTTTGCTAATCAATTCATCTTTCCTGATTGCCTACATTTCGTCTACTTCTCCCTTATCGTCCCGTTGCAGTCATCCCTCCCTAACTTACCGCTAGCAAGTGCGAGTGATATTCCCACAGCTCTAAAGACTGGATCATTATGGTCAGCCCCCTGGGAGTCTGCTGAATCTACCCCGTTGTTCATATTTAATAAGCGGGGGTTTGAGTATTTATTTATCTGGTCACTTGACAGTTATCGTGAACCTCGTCTTTCGAGGATATGGGACCTCGGTCGGAAAAGAGCCCTATAAGACTATGGTAAATTGCGAGCGACGAAAGCTAAACGTAAAGGTCTTCCGAAGGTAAGGCTGCCGTGCTATTTGAAAAGAGCGTAGTGAAGCGTGTCACGGCCCTGGTGTTGTTATGTGCTGTTTGTGTGGCAGGGAACGATAAAAAATAACCCCCAGTTAGCTCGTGTGGCTATGCCTATCCTTACTTTTAATGTTGTTGATAAATTTAAAAGTGGACTTTTATGGGAGCTTTCTCTCGATAAAGGGAAGGGGTATGTAAGATTTAGCTACTGCTACCAGAGCAATGGAGTGGGGGAGGAGGAGGGTGGGGAGGGGGATGAAATAACAGTGAATAACTTAAAACTGGGTTTTAATTTGGGTACAAGGAGAATGTGTGATGTTGATTTATGGTTAATGTTCCAAAAATAGTATGTTACGAAGGGAGAAATGAATAATTTGAGATAAGGGTGATTGTAAGACAAGGACTAAAGTAAAGTATTGGAAGGTAGAAACTAGAACAATATGAACTATGTAGGCACGTGATAATGGGTTTTGTATGCTCAATCAAGTGGATGGGGATCCGCTGTCGCCTAGAGTGCTACCACTAAGCCCATTGGATGTGAGGTATAAGTTGACCCCTTTGTGTATGTGTTTCGGACGAACATTAGTACAAATATCCGAAATCGCATACAACTATAGGATTAGAAACCATCTGCTATATAACTTCCACGCATGCGAAAAATTACATTATGGCAACTCGAATTTCAAAAAGTCGATTTAATTACAGGTTAAAATATTTGCCTAAGACCAAGCCTACCGCCCGGCTTATATAAGGGCTTGGCTGCTATAACAGGATGTTAACAAGCCTCGTGGGCTCTGCTGTCCGTAAATAGTATGTCCGTTGACGATCCGTGCTATTAATGCACAACGATGATAACAACGAAACAGCAGCAACAAATAATAACTCTTTAAAACTTTTCTTTTTTCTATTGGTGTTTACTTATATGTACAGTAGGTGGAAAACACTACCGGTTTAATATTAATAAACCCTCGAGAAGCTGTATGCTAAAATTGGATGTAATGATGATTATACGGACGCAAAAGGATAACGCGATTCACCGTAAACTCTGTAGTTTACTAAAAAAGGATACAACTATAATAGGAATGAAGATGGCCTGAATCCAAAATTATATCTGATACACAGAAAAAAGTTTATTAAATTTAATTAAACTTGACTTATTCGATATACGCGCTAGTACCCTGCTCCTTGACTAAACAGTGTGCCATGAAATTTCCAGTTGCACAGTAGCTACGTATGACTTACATGTGGATCACATACCCAACGCTCAGACCCTGTTACATATCATCAATTGACTTTACATTGTCGCCGCGTGATTTTCAACAGTTTGCAGACTGTATATAGTTGACAAATGCGTTTTAATCTAATAAATTCGAGAAAGCTTTTGTTTCCTATATAAGTTGACATGACGTAAGATGCGCAGTCTGGTGAACAATCGAATTCCGGAGCTCGATGCATACGTATCTAAAATCTTTTATATCGTCATCAGGTTTAAATTTTTTTCGTATTTTTCGCTCGTCATCATTGTGTTTTACTGGTTTAACTCTAAATGAATGCCTATTCCAACAACGGCCAGATCTTATTACGGCCTTAATGTGTGAGCCGTTCTGGAGTACTAACCAATTTCCGGTTTCCGCAAAAATGTTGGCAGAAAGTTCCAAAATGCTCAAGCGTTACATTTGAGAGATGGATTACTATTCTCGGAAAAGCACATTGTTCCACCTCGCATAGCATCTTATCGTAACGCCAATCGTCCCCATTGCAGTAAGTGCAGTATTTGATTCTTCCGTATGTTCTGCGTTGTCTTTTTTTTTCTCTTGTGCTTTTCCGTGGCGAACATTTTGTCATACGTAGTTCGTCTTGGCGTACGCAGCTCTATCCAATAAAATCGACCATACGGTGTTGTCTCCTGGTTACGGCTGCCTCCATCGCATGATTCTGACAGATCGCACACGCAAAACGTGTAATACAAATTTGGGAAGGTTTCCTTCCTGTGATAAACCTTGGCTATACCACAGTGAGTAATGATTAAAGTCAACTGATGATGATTGTTAACTGACTCGCTCGTCATCGAATCCCGTTGGTTTGGTTACAAGAATCTGGGTTTAGGCTTTTCTAATAAGGGGATGGAGACAATATTGGGATCAAAGCGTTATAATTATAGATAGAGACTATCATGCGTCACAAATACACTGATCTTACCCCCTTTTGATACAAGTTAATTTATACCAATATTTGACGATCAATTAAATTCTGTTCCCAAACAGACTGGACTAATTAACAAAAAAAAAAGTCAATGATGCCATCCAGCCCTGTTTACTTCCCCCCATTTTTCGACCAATTTATTTATATGCAACACTTTATTGATCACAAATATATATAGTCGATCAGTGACTGGATCTAATCTATCAAATTGGTGGTCAAAGTAAAAAGTCCCTTTCCTCATCCCTTCCAAAGCCAGTCATGCCCAGCAAAAGTAAATATGCCTCAGACTACATAACGGCACAAGAACTCAACAGAAGAATAAATGAACAAAACCAGGCGCTAGTCATATATGCAAAGAAGGTGTATAGATTGGACAAATGGCTCAAGTTCCACCCGGGAGGAGAACTTGCAATAAGACATATGATCGGAAAGGACGCGACTGATGCAATTAATGCGTTTCATCCCGATTACGTAAAGACGAAGAACATTCACACGTTCTATATTGGCGAATATGTGGACGAAGATGTCCACATACCGTCCGCTAATACAGACAGCGTAAAAACGTTAACGCTAAATAAAAAAGGCAACCCAGACAACACTCCCGTTAATAATATTACCAAACCTATATTATCAGCCATCTCGTCTTCAATTACATCACCGAGTACACCGTCTACGACCATTTCATCAGCCTCCCAATCAACCCAACCTTCCGACGCGAAACTAGATCTAATCCACCAAGCACGTATAACAAAAGCATATCGTGAACTAGACGCCCGTATACGTTCCAAAGGTCTCTACAAGACTCATTACATTAACTATGTTTATGAGATGATACGCTTTGGTACATTATTCGCACTTGCCTGGTATTTCGCGCTGACTGGCACGTCGACTCTCCATTTCCTTACATCAGCTGTATGTCTTGGTGCGTTCTGGCATCAAATAGCATTCACCGCCCATGATGCTGGTCATAATGGCATTACGCATTCGCTGCCTGTGGACGGTTTCATTGGAGTAATGACCGCTGATTTATGCGGTGGACTGAGTATGGGGTGGTGGAAGAAGAGTCATTACGTTCACCATTTAGTCACCAACGAAATAGAGCATGATCCGGATCTACAACAACTACCTTTCTTCGCAGTTAGTATTAATTTTGTGAAAAGCATATATTCAAGTTATTACGAAAGAATACTCCATTTCGATAGAGCAGCAGCATTTTTTGTCCAATTTCAGCACTTCTTATACTATCCTGTACTAGCTTTTGGAAGATTTAATTTATACTTTTTATCAATATCACACATTATAAACGAAGAAAGGGTGGCTTTCAGGAAACTAGAATTATTCTCAATGGGACTATACTGGATGTGGTTCTCTTACCTTCTCTCACATATTCCGTACTCCCTGATAATTCCCTACATTTTAATATCCCATATGATAACCGTGTTGTTACATATACAAATCACGCTCTCTCACTACGGTATGTCAACGGAAGAGCTTGGACCAAAGGAAGCATTTGCTGCGAAAATGCTTCGCACAAGCATGGATGTAGATTGTCCAAAGTGGTTGGATTGGTTACATGGTGGATTACAGTTTCAGACCATTCACCACTTGTTTCCAAGGGTACCCAGACATAATCTGAGGGAGTGCCAACAATACGTGAGGGAATTCTGCAAGGAAGTGGGCATAGAGTATCACTGTTACGGTTTTGTAAAAAGCAATGGAATAGTATTAGACGCCTTGAAGGATGTAGCCAACCAAGTCAGCTTGATGAACAAAGTCGCAAAAGGGATAGCCGAAAAAGAACTCAGACACGTCAGTGGATAATTGTAATAGAGATCCTGTATTTTTTATTATTATTTATTTGTTTACATTCAATAAACTTTAGGTGAGTTAGATGTGAGCGCAGTCTGCGCTCTTCTTGTAAGCATTCCCCCATTATATACTATGAGATTACTGGATTATTAAGCGAAATTGTGTCTGATCATCATTGGTTATAGTGGTATTTCGTACAACCTTTTATAAAGTTTAGAGAAGAATCAAAATACACTCATACCCCGTTTATATCCCCCTTTCGTTCAGCCCAAAAGTGGGGATATAAGCGGGGTGGGGATATAAACGGGGGATGCACGGGAATTAGAAAAAAAAGTATCGATTTCTCACATGACAAGAATCGTGATGATAGTTATAAGCAATACATATATATATATATATATATGATTTATTTATATTCGAGTATATACACACAATGTTATTATCAAAATATAAATCCAGTTTGCTTTGTTTTTAATTTATCAATGCGTTCTTTTTCCGCCTTTTTCATTAGGAAGAAATATCAATTTGCAGTTGCTGCATACAAATTTGACCAATGGAATTGCGAGAGATCTGCTCTGCTTTAGAAATGTCCCCGTTTTGGCAATTAGTGTAACTTAGGGGATATAAACGGGTTGGGATTATTATATCGTATATTCGGCCGATATGACTCTATGAAGATAGGGATATATCTGAGATGGGATATAACTGGCACAAAAAAGAATGTTCGTTAGAAGACCTTTTGTTTTTACAAAACTTGGGGATATAACCGGGGGTGGGATATAACTGGGTAGAGATATAAACGGGGTATGAGTGTATTGTACTCCACGAATATAATAATAATGAATAAGCGTTCCCTGTGTAACCGATTTGACGGTGAGAGTTACCTCCATTTTTGAGGGAAAGTGTTGTTAGCGACTACCTTTGGCGACGCAGACGACAACTGTTGTTTTCCAGGCTGCCTTTTATATTTTTCTACCCGGTGGTTGTGGTTAAAGTCGGGTGAGTTGGAGGGGAGGAAATTTCATTGATAAAGAAATGCAAATAAGATTAGCCCAACGAACAGTCTCATACACACGCATACTAATACCCACGCACGCACAGATGTAAAAACATCGCATTTTTTTCTAGTCATGCTCCTTTTATGTAAAAACCAATTTTGAATATTCTTCAAACTAAACAGAAGTTTTTTTGCAAAGTAATATATCTGAGAGATATAAGGCCTGTTCCGTTCCGTTCTGTTCCGATCAACGGCAAAATTATATCAACCAATCAAAAATCCGTGAGAATTGAGGACAAATTTCGCGTTTCCCCGTTCCGTTGTTTTTCTTTTCACTCCAAGATTT